ACGGGCAGGCTGCCTCTCGCTTCTCGACTATTGCCCTCGCGTGTTTCGAGACTTGCTATTGTGATCTGTGAGCTCGCACACGCACCCACGTTTGTCTGTCACCCGATCGCAGCTAACCAGCGAGCAGCAGCTCATCCCACAAAGTCTCGGACTGAGACCACTGCTGCCGCTGCATGCAGTGAGACAAGCTATAGCGAAAGCCTCAAAGGCTGCTTTCCATTTGTAGGTTGTGCAGGGGAACGACTCAGTGACTTGCTCACCTCGTCCGAGTCGATCTGGCATGAATTGACGCTGCAGTCGAGTACGAGCAATCAAGAGTCAAGCACCTCTACAGCTTTGTTCGCACACAAATACAGCTTCATAGCCTCTCCAACAAAAACACTTCCGTCTCCCGCACACTGCATCAATCTCGCACCGTAGGAGCTCAGCCTTGGGGCGGCGGGAACGTTCATTGCCTTTGGACCAACTGATCCCGCGCTCTCTTTCTTGGCAAGAGCGATCAAAATCTCAACCAAGGTAAGCTATTGCAGCGGTACCATTTGCGTCCGCTTTCCTGGAAGAGGGCCGAGAATAACACTGCCATCTGCAATCGGCCCGCATAGTGGATGCATGTATACATACAGTATATAAAGACAACCTCTTCGACCGAATCCCGTCATTTCTCCCCGCAATCTGCAATTCGAACACTCACGACTGACTGATGGCATGGAAGTTCTGAGCTGATTCCTGTCAGCCAGAAGGGACACTTCACGATTCTTGCTGCCGCACAAGATAACGGCAGCCCATACTCGGACGTCGGAACCTGGACATTAGACTCTGGGAGTTGCGACTGGACCAGTTCTTCTCGCACGGTGGCAAGCTTGTCTTTCGGTGACGGTGTCTGTGCAAAGCATTTATTGGCAGAGTTTCTGAAGAAAAGTATACACTTGCCAACGATGAGCGGCACCACTTCGCACGCGGGCTTCTCACATCCCGATCGCGCTACAGAGGGCTCTCATATCACCCGACCCACTGGCTTTGTCAGCTCATCCAACGACGAGACAGACCACGTGCATGACTCGGCGTCGAATGGCTCGTCGCTCGATGAGCTCACTGGCGACGTCGTGAGCGATCCTTCGGGCTTGGATGCCGAACAATCTCGACGGCCCCTACCACGCGAAAATGGTCGCAGTCCCACAACAGACGCGACAGCAGACATTTCAGGAGGACGTGCTACGCGACCACACCTTGATGGGGACGAAGCAAACTCTTCGTCTGCAGTGCCTCTTGTCACACCATTCGCCAAACACCTTGGTCGCAATCGCGCTTGCGCTGCGTGTCGCGAGCGGAAGCTCAAGTGCGATGGTGTCCGACCGATATGTGGCCAATGTGGCCGGGCCTGGGCCGCTCGGCGAAAGTCAATGCTGGCCAAAGGTCATTCTGAGAACGACATCGACGCCATGGAGACGCCCTGCAGCTACATAGCGGTCGAGCCGCGCACAGGAAACAAGAAGTCCACCGTATCAGGGTCACCCGGCAACCACAACAATAAGTCAAATGCTCGCAAAAGACATGCCACCGATTCCGGTACTGTGGGAGGGAACGGTGGCCCATCACTGAGTGAGGAGAATCGCAAGCTCTCGCGCGAGGTCGGTGAGTTTCGAGGACGCGCCCGCGGCTAGAATGTTTCGTGTTAGACCTACCATTCACCCACTCTGCCCCCTGCGGCCCCTCCTCCTCACTTCTCAGCGGAGTTAAGAGCTCTCTTGCAGTCTCAGAGAGTGCAAAGCACTAGCTCGGCCGACGAACTTTCAATTGCAGAGATACTTGCAAACACGATGCGAGGAGGCGAGAGTAGCTACCAAACTATGCCGTCCGGACTCTCTGGCAGGCCGACCAACCATCGCCCGTCTGCCAATCCTCTGGCAGACCAAGGGCAGAATAATAGCAGTGCGCAGCTC